AATGTTGCTATTATGTAAAAAAAATGTTGTGGTGATTGGTAAATGTAACATTGATGGATTGCCTGCAACCTTATTTATTCGGGTATTGATATATATTGTATATATAATTATAATTGATCTTAGTCTAGTAGATTTAAATTAGTGCGTAAAAATATTATATTTATGTACTCTAATTGTGCAATTAATTATATAATCACATTTGTTTCCCTAAGTTACTGAACATCAATATTTTATTCATTTATGGGCAGAAACATCATACAAAAGTGATTATTCTTCATCCACTACCGAAAATTCAGAACAAATTTTCCATGAAGCTGATATCTTAATTGCAGCCGCAGAAGTACTCAACTTGGTCTGTGGTACTTGGTTAAAGCCAGACGCAATTGTTGTATATATTTTAAGGTGTAATTTTTTATGTTGATAGGATGTCTGTCAATCATTTCTTTGTAATTACTTTTGGTGTGCTAAACATAATGTAATATTGTACGTAAATATAAAACAGTAAAAGTGTTGTTGCATTGAAGCTCTTTTGTAAAATTGATATATTATGATAGATGAACGAAAATTGCAGTATGTGATGATGGTCTTTTATATATGATTTGTTGACAATAAAGGTTTCTGAAAATGTAACAGGGGTACATCGGAGTTGTGTTGGAGTACTTGCCTGCTCAACCGAGTCACTATTTCTTAAAATGTTTCTAACTGATTGATATTTGAGTTTGTGAGTGTGTGACAATTTGGATTATTATGTTATGGGTAAAAATATTTTAGAAAATATGTGTTTATCCTATTACACAAAAAACACTTGAAGTCCTAGTAGTAGATTACAACTCGTGTTTTCACTTGAATGTTGTTGTGTGTGTTATGGTGTGAATTACTATGTAATAGGTCTAAAGATTTTTAATTTGTGGCTGTAATTATTTACACTAACAACTAATATAATTTAACTTAGTTATTTGACTTGTTTAACCATCTACAAGTGGAGGTTGGATTATAATTGTACGTATATCATACAATATAACCAAGTTATTTCTCACTTGTTTAGTAATCTATAATAACTATATGTTATTTATCTTTTCATACAATTCAAGGTATCGCGGAAATACTATCACGATGAATTTATCATTTTTTACCGACAACAAGTGAATATTTTGAACAATAAACGGTCTGTTTTCTAAGCACGGGTTATCAGAGTATATATACTCGTCATTGAAGCATATGATACCACTATTATAGGTATGTAAGATTTGTGACATGGTATATCGATATTTGATGCAGGTATGTAAGTATGTGCTTCGGGCACAAACATCGACACTCAAGGTATGAATAATGATTGCTTAGGTATTATTTGTATAGTAGCAAGTATTCGTGAGTATGGTTGATTTTAGTTGATCTCCTGATGGAGAAGCCAATTCACAAACTCGGTGAGAGTACTTCATCTCTGAGCCTTGTTGGAAAAAATTAGACACGGTACGTTTATATTCGACAGCTCATGCCACATTTTTCAATGGCAAGACCACAAAACATGTAGGACTACAAAAAATATAATTTAACTAAGTCATTTATGACTTGTTTAGCCATCCATAATATATATGTGTTGTTTACATTTACATACAATTGTGGAATTCACATAAATACTATAATGATGAATTTATTATTGGTTATAGATAATAATTAAATGTTTTGAACCGAGAATGATTTGGTTCCCAAGTACATGTTTTCAATGCATGATTTACTAGTTATGAGAGCATATGAGATACTAGTTCCAGGGTATATTGGTAAGAGACTTAGGTATCCTTTGATGCTAACCTGTGTGAAGGAATGACATGTTATAATTTTATATTCAAAATTTGGGCATGGTACATTTATATTTAACAACTTATGCTATATTTTTCAATAGGAAGACAAAAAAGCATGTATGAATAACAACCAACACAATTTAACTAACTATTTTGTCTTGTTTATCCATCTATAGTAAATATGTGTTGTTTACCTTTACATATAGTTCTAGGATTCGCGAGAAACTATAATGATGAATTCATCCATGGTTACTGACACAATTGAATGTTTCAAATTGAGAATGATCGGTTTTTAAGTACAAGTTACCAGGGCATAAATACTCATTACTAGAGCATATGAAATCGTATTGTATGTAAGTAAAAACTACTTAAGGGTAGTTGATATATAATGAAGGTATATAAATATGTGTTCTGGGTACGAGCATTGACAATCAATGTATGATTGATGGTTGCTTAGGTAGTATTTATGTAAAAGCAGGTATCTTTGAATGTGGTCGACTTCAGTCAATCCCTTGAAGGCAATTAAGGAACTTGGTGAAAACATTTCTTCTATTAGCAATTCTTCACTTCATTGGTGGGTGAGAGAAATGGCAGCGACTTGGAAGAGCATAAACCTTCGCAGCACATGTATATAATTTTTTTTAGTACACCATTAATGTACTTAAGTATCCGCGAATGCACTTTTGTTCATTGCAAACATTATTTCAACCATTGCAAGGTCTTGTAATGAATTAGTTAATTCCAATTTAAAATTCGTATGCATAAGTTTTCTGGTTGGTTATTGTCTTCGTACAAGGATAACATTCCTAACAGATGGATAACATTTATATGAGCATATATATGTAGTTTGAAGGTATTTTGATCTAGTTAGACGGGTACATCGATCCGTTGTGGAGGTACAACGTATGCATTACTGCAATTCTAATCATGTGAACAATTAATCATACAATCATTTATGGCACAATTCATAGCACTACTCTAAACATTAAGTTTTACCAAATTCAACCTACAATTCAATCCATCTATCAATCTTAGTACAATCTCATCAAACATGAGGCAAATCAAACCAATTTAACCAACAATTCAATTAGAAAATAACACATTAACCAAATCAAGTACAAATAATATAACCCAAATCAATCTCAAATCCATCTAAATTCATTACAGATGTTCACTTACCTGTGCTGCTCATCAAAGTCTATGATTCGGAGGGCAAACCTTTCATTATTTTGACCGCAATTTTATTGTGGTAGCTCTTCACATTATCAAACTCACCGTTGATGCCATCAATGGGATTGACTGTTGGATTCGTGTGAGCGTAACACTTGCCAAACATGCAGACCAAAAGACCATAGTCGAGAGTATCACATTGATTCCGACATCTTACGTACTCGGGCATCTCCCTTACCATGGGTCATAGGTATATTACGTTCAGGTACAAGCATAAAAATCACGATTGTAAAAATAACATAATATTTTGTTACGTAATTCGGTTTATCCATGATAAATTAATTATATTTATTTTGTACACGTACCAATTTCTTCGCGTTCCTTTGCCCGAACAGATCGCATTATGACTTGAATAACAAGCACAATCCAACCTACAATCTGTAAATAAATATCATCAGTACATTACCCAAATCTGAATATTTTTAACTACGATCTGTAAATAAATATCATCAGTACATTACCCAAATCTGAATATTTTTAAAAATTTATCAGAATCTATCAGGAGTACGTAACAACACATGTCGAGTACACATTAGTCCCTAAAAGTATATTACTTAGCAAACTAGACCTAAAACTGCAACTCGGGGTACTTAATAATACCACATTTGCCAACCCACAAACATGACTAATTACCGAACAATCAAACAAAAAAACTAAAATATGCAACTACGGGTAACTAAACAAAATGTACATCTACAAAATTAACAAAAAAACACATATTAAACAAATAAAATCACCAAATATCGGTACCAAAATAAAAAAATCCAACCCGGTCTACGTGGGCAAACATACGAACAATTTTAAACCCGATTAACAAACACAACTACATCGATCACACAGGGCTCCTCAACACCAAACCGAGACATACAAACACAAAAGGCAAGAGTTACACCCTAAACAATTGAACAAACTATATACAAAATATTAGTATCAACAAAATAAAAAATTAAAAAAAGTCCAGCCAGGAACTTACTTCTTCGAGCTTGTCTCGGGGATGGGAGCGATCAACTGTTTTCTTCAGCATTTTTGCACCAACTGATCGCTACTTTATTGCCAAGGGTTGAAGAGCGTCGGTTCGCCTGAAGAAGAGAGAGGTAGGGTTTAAAATTGGGGTAAGAGAAGTTATAAGAGATTTTCTTCATCAACCCCTGTTAAATCGTGGGTAACTATCTTTTTCTTTTTCATTTATTTTTTAATTCGCGAAAAAAGTACGTGATATTTAACTAGAAGTATATAAGATTATAATGAGGGTAGAGCGGGAAGTAATGTAGGTATATATTACAATATTAGAAGTATTGATCAACTTATTTTGAGTACTTATTGCGTATACAACAATAATTGAGGGATAAATACAAATGGGGAGTCATAACATACCTAATCCATAAAGTAGAGAGTGCAGACTAATTCATTTTTAATAGGGACTGAATTGTAAGTGACTTTATCTGACAGGGAGTTAAATCCAACTCTCCCTTAATATATATATAAAATTATTATTAATTATTTTTAAATTAATTAAATATTACAGTGACTTTGACACGAATGGAGTAATAAATTTGAAGCACGGAGTACTTTTATTGCACATGCTCTATGAATCTCATTACACTTCCATCCTGTTCTTAACAAACAAAGCGGGGTCCATGTGGCCCATTAAGAATCGGGCGCAGAGATCCATGGACCTCTCCAAAATAAACAATATCATTAGAACCAGACAAAAAGGTCTATTTTCAAAGCTACAGCTACACCACACCATGGCCTTAGTTTATCACGCAAAATCAAATCAAATAGTAAGTTAGCATAGCAATAACAAAAATAATAGGATTTATAACCGCGATGCGCATGGGGGGCTCACATTAGCTCCACTGCGTCTTATCCTACGCTCCTTCCCCCACTGTCCTCACCACTGCATATATCAGAGAGCAGCCGTTTTCACCAGCTCAGACGCTTTTGTCAGCGCCCAGAAGAAGAAGGAAAAAAAAAAAAAAAATTATTATTATAATAAATAAGAGCTTGATTTTCGGTTCTCTCTATCTCGGTGCGGGTGGTTTTGGTTTGGTTTGGTTTGGTTTACCCAAAAGGCAAAACAATTGCCACATCATTGTATCCTTCTATCGAACAAGATTCCTCCTTTTATGCATTTATGTGCAGCCGATTGTGCCTTTTGAAACTTCCTGTATCTGCAATCAATCTCATTTTCAGTCTTCGCACACCATCTGCTTTGCTGAGTGTTTTTTTTTTGTTTTTCTTTAGAGTTGCTCCTCCATTTACATTATCTAATATCTAGTGTCAGTTTCAGGTAGACACTGTAGATAATGGCGTTTTCATCACCGCTAATCTCTTGAAATCAATCAATCAATTCTTTTTTCTGGTCTGTAGAGCGAGCATTTTTTTTGAAGGGAGAGAAATCACGCCTGCCACATGGCGCTGTCACCAATTTGAGCGAGCACTTTGGGCATTTCGTGTTAACCCACCTTTGCCACTATTCATTTCCTACGCAGCCGTAGAAAAATGTGACAGTTGAAGAGAGAGAGAGACCTTACCTTTTGTTCTCGAGTGTTTGTCCAGAAGAGAGTGAGTATATTTCCTGGTGTGATACGATAGAGATCCAATATTTATGAAGGACATGGCTGGTTTTTGTGGAGAACTTCCTTTTGGGGAGGTTGTTTGGTTTTAATTATTATTGTTATTATTAGTTTTTATTTTATTTTTGCTGTGGTTGGAGGAATGGGTGATGCATTGGAGAAACCAGCTGGATCTTCCTCTTTAGCTGTTGTGGAGAACAGACCCAAAAAGCATGGAGGATGTGTCGGCATTTTCTTCCAGCTCTTCGATTGGAACCGTAGATTTGCTAAGAAGAAGCTCTTCTCCAAGAAACTGCTTCCACCCGCAGGTTAGTGTTTTCCAAAAGCTTCTTTGTCTTTCTAAAGTTTTGGGGGCTAAATAGTTTGTTCGTGTTTAATTAACTGTTCAGATAGGTTGAAACCATCGTCGAAGAAATTTTGTGGGGATGAGAAGCAGCCAAAGATTCGCTTGGTATGCAGCTTCTTGTTCATTGCTTGTTGAACTGAGATGTATCTATATATATCTATATATATATTGGTACATTGTTCCTTAGTGTTATCTATATATTGTGTGCAAATGTGATGATGATTGTATGTATGTATGTATTATAGATTGCTGATGAGAATAAAGGTGGTTTTCCTCATGGAAAGAGCTGTAGCAATGGTGGTGTTGATCAGAAGCACGAAATGCAAATGCGTGTCCCTGGATTGGTCGCTCGGCTCATGGGGCTGGAGACGATGCCCACAAGGAGAATAATTAATGCGTCCAAGTCGGGGAGTTCTGGAACTGGAAGCCGTAAGCAGCAGCAGCAGGATAAGGGTAAGAAGGGTAAGAAATTGGTAGAGAGGGAAGAAGAAGAAGAAGAAGCAGAAGAAGAAGAGGAGTTGATCAGTACTGTTACTGTGGAGGACAAAGATAAGCCTGAATCAAGGCCGCCGAAGCTTCAGAAGACATTGTTAACTACTAGTGTAGTAAGTAGTGTATCTGAGAGGTCACAGCCACAGCCACAGTCACAGGCGGTGATTAGGAGGTTTGGTGTGGAGAAGCTGCCACAGCGGTCGCCATCGTCGTCATTTAAGAATGCTTTGTTGTCCAAAGCAAGAAAGCATCATCATCATCATCATCATCATCATCCAAGGCTTCCCACTCCGGTCCCAGTCAAGAGTCCAAAAAGTGGTTCACGGAAGGGCTCATCAAGGCTGCTTATCGAGGCAGCAGCGTCTAGAATCTTGGAACCTGCCGGATTGCAAACAAGCAGAAGATCCAAGTGCGGGCTCACTAATTATTCCAATGAACATCCTAAGCGACAAATGTATTCGGAGGACCAATGTGGGCAGCACCAGTGCTTGAATTGTACTGGCTATTTGCTGGATAGTTGGGGAGAGGAGGAACATGTGGTTTTCGAATCTCGTTCCAGGGAAATAAGTAAGCCAAAAAATTCTTCTCCTAATTACTACTGTGGCATGGAAGACAAGACCGACATAGACAACAGCACTACCGTACAGCCGCATATTACATTTACATCGTATAAATGTCCATTAAGTGAACAGGGAGACCCTTTGAAGAGGATGCCCGTTTTATCATTCGGCTGTGTCCCTAAGGCACAAAGTGAATGTGATCAGATGGATAGCCCGAAGATTATTAATAATAGTAAAGTATCATCGAGAATATCCGTTCCAAGTTCTGTGAATGCTACAAGTGTGGGCAATAACATCAGTAGGCCTCAGCTGCCTTCTAGAAGAGACAACCGGAAATTCGATTTGGAGAAAAGAATGAGTAGCAACAAATTGAGTGATACCGTATCCCCAGGGCGAAAGCGAAGGTCAAGTAATTCATCAGGCCATGGTTTCGAGAGCTCTAAAGTGCCCCCCTACCAAAACTACAATTTTCATCAACCAATGATGGGAAATCAAACAGGATGTTACAACGGCCATGTTGTCGACCAGAAGTGCATTAGAAACAGCTCTTTGGTAGCTGAGAATGGCCAGGTCGGCAAAACTGCTGTTTCATTTCCTCTTCATTCTCCTGTGAAGTCAAGGAGTCGAGTTTCGGAAGGGAAGGTTAAAAACAATGTGCATTTTGGTGAGGGTGAACTGCTACTACTACAATCAACCACAGGCAAACATGGTAGAAAGAAAAGGCTCGAAAAGCCACTCCCTCGACTGAGCTTGAGCAGAGATGGAGATGCATTGGGTGCTCTTCTGGAGGAAAAACTGAATGAACTTACATGCCAAAAAGAGGATATCCAAGGAGGTACCCCTCCATTAAAGACAACTGCCATGATTCTGCAGGAGCTGCTATCTGCCTTGACATCTGAGACATCATCATCCTTTCAGCCAGAGGCCAACTTCCCGACCATACCTGAACCTGATGGAAGAAATGGTTGCAACTTTCTCCCTGATTCAACCACTTCGAGTATATCACAGGTGAACACAGTGTTCCTTCGGTACTTGTGGTGCTGTGCTTATCACTTGTGTTTTCTTTTTATTGCTTGACTTTGTAAATTTGATCGGAACATCATCTATTCAGGGTAGGGCATCGGGAAGAAGGTTATATGTTGACCATCAACTGGACAGTGACCATCTAAGCCCGGAATCTGTTCTCGAGGCTTATTGTTCTACGGAGAGCTGTCCTTCCAGCAGGAGTATGGATGAGTTCTATGGTGAGACTACTGACAATTAATTAGTTTTTCTATTTCTGTTGGTTCACTCGCATATACAAAACATGTCTGATGTTGTGATTTTAATTTGTTCAGGCTATAAGATGGTCGCCGAGTCTACTGAATGCTCCTACGACTCACAAGGGTGGTTGTCGCCTAACTCAGAGCCTTTGGATGCAATGAAAATCCATTTGAACAGAAAAGAATTGATGACCCAAGTCCTGAACAACGTATCCGAAGTTTTATGCTCCAGTAAACTTGCCAACTGTGGATTGAAGGGAATCGATCTTGAGGAGGCAAGGGAGGTCTTATTACATGCTGAACTGACATTCCTCAATGCTCGGGGACAACCATCTCCAATCAAACATTTGGTCCTCGATGAATTAGAAGCGCTCGCAGGTGTTCTTTGGATGAACTTTGGTTGCTCGCTCGGGACTGAAGACGAAAATGAGGTGCTGACAAGATTCGTCTTTGATTCCATTGTGGAGCACCTTGGGTCGAAAAAAAAGCCAAGAAAGGTGCTGCAAACAAATGGTAAGATGTTGATGGTTGAGAGTGAGATTGAGATGGTGGAGGCTGTTAGAAAGTGGGAAGAAATGTGTCGAAAGAGCCTGGATGAGGTGGTGGAGAAGGAGATGGACAGATCCGCCGGGGAATGGACGCAGTGTGAGAGTGAGGCGAGGGAGACGGGGGTGGGGATCAGTGTATGGCTGTACAATTACTTGGTGGAGGAAGCTGTTATGGATCTCATCATCACCTATTACATTAAGCAAGAGAGCGAGTTGAGTTAGAAGTAGTAGTAGCAGTGGTAGTAGTAGTAGTTAATGAATGCAATGTAAGAAGGCAAGTGTGTATTTTCTACAGCTTAAAAATATATAGATGCAAAACCGTCCTGCGAATCTAACATGTCTTTTCTATATTGATTTTTGTTCTTTCTTGAAATGGTAATTCTATAATTCAACATATAGTGTGATTAGATGGGTAATTTCTACACTTTATTTCAATATAATTTAGATATTAAATGTAAATAATTAATTTTAAATGATATTATTTCACACCCATGATAAATGTATTTATACAACATAATTATAAATATCAACCTCACAAATAAATTGTTTGTTTGCCGATAAATCCACCATGGGACAGATAAATTTAGGTAACTCGATTCAATCCACCAGTTGGTGTCGAGCCATACGGGCTAATCCACGGATTTTTTTTTTAAATTTTTATAATTAATATAAAAAATAATTACATAGCAGAGTTTATATAAATATTTCAAAACAAAATATTAAATATCCTTAGTTGGTATATATTTTTTTTGAAAAAAAAATTGATAATCGAAAATATTTAAATAATAAATAAAAATTATTTTTTATAGATATTTCAATATAGAGCAAATTTATTTATTTTTATCTAATTTAATATCATAATTATCAATTTTAATCCAAAATGATTGATTGTTGACTTAGAAAATATAAAAATAATATAGAAAATAATTAATTTTAAATATTTTAAAAAATAATTGCAAAATTTATAAAAATAATAATATATTAATATATATTCTTAATAATCATAATTATATATATTTCAAAATTTATAAAAATAATAATATATTAATATATATTCTTAATAATCATAATTATATATATTTCAAAATTTATAGTAAAAATTTTAAAATATTTCTAGAACTCAATTATCTAATCATTTCTTTGAATTTTAAAATATTGCAAAATTGAAAATAGCTTAAGCCAACACGGTAGTGTTGAGTCACAATAAATCATTTTGATACTAAAATTGATAAATTTTTATTTGAGTGGGACCAAAATTAATATTTTTTTCGATACGATTAAAATTGATAATTATGATATTTAATGAAAAAAAATGATTTTTGCTCTTCAATAAATTATAGAAGAAAAAAACTAAAAGATAATAAGAGATTAAAAAATTAAATACTCCATCCATCCAATAATAATTCTTCTTATTTATTTTTTACAGGCGAATCTAGGTATATTAGTATTTTATTAAAGTATTAGGACAAAAATAATGTATGTAAAGATAATTTTACCCTTATTTTTTAGTGTAAAAATAATAATACGATGGTCAAATAAAAATATTTTTGTATACACATGAAATGTAATTTTACTAAAAAAAAAAATAAAAATATTTCAATTGACGAACTAAAATAGAAAAAATGAAAAGATTTTGAATGATCAGTTAGAATGATTAAAACAAATATTAAAAAATTGAACAAAAAAGATTGATATCGACGAGACAATAAAAAAAATAATAATAATAAGGAGAGTAACAACGCTGTTTAATTGGTTTAACATAATTTGAATTTTTTACCAAATTAATTATTTGATTTAATTTAATGTAAAATATCTTTAAAAATTACCATAAAATATAATACTCATTCAAAATTTTATTTACTTAATTAATTAATTAATTAATTTTTAAAGTAAATTTATTAATATTAGTATTTGATATGTATATAGTACACAAAATGTATAAATAGTTAAATTTACCCATAAAAAATATGTTAGTTAAATAATATCAATGATTTTTTTTTAAAAAAAATATATGTAAAAATTTAAGATTTCTTTAAAGTTATATAAAGCATAATTACTAAAAATAATAATAATGAAAATGATTAAAAAAAAGACCAAAATAAAAAAATAGATAAAATTATTAAAGATATATTATAATTTTACTATAAAAAAATTATGCTTCACTGGGGGCTCACACTTCAAACCTACGACCAACTTGGGATGACTCATTTAGGCCCCATTTTAATAGACCTAAAAAATTAAAACTCAACCATTTTTGAAATTAGAGTAGGGCAGGCCGATCCAACATATTCAATTCATTATGACAGTTCTAATTTAGATGTTTGTTAATATATATATGTTTTACTTATTTATTAGTATTATTTTGAATTTAGTTTTTGGTACATATCACGTTGGCTAGTACTCCTACGAGTAATCCATCCTATGTACTTGTGGATTAACACAAAAACAAGTCAGAATAAGTCACATGCAAGGTAATCTACAACGAGAGGAGATTAATTGACAGGAGGGTCATCCAAGCTGGTATCACGGCTAAAATTAATATCCATAAGCCCGACATTGGTAACAGAAGCTCCCTCGGCCAACGATGCGGACACCATATCCTTGGTGCCTGGTTCCATAACAGTGGTAACCGACATCGGTAGAGGATAGGTCAGCTGGTTTTAGTTGTTCAGGACGCGAAGAGGTCCCCCGGGCTACCATATCAGGCCAGGCCAGACGCAGCTCCTCTAATCCTCTCTTGTCTCGCTGGAAATTCTTCTCGAAGATGATCTTTTGTCCGCGAAGCCCCAACAAGGGTTCATCCAAAGTACGTGCCCGACCATATAGTTCTATCCTCTGGGAGGTCCTGGCAGCAAGGCTTGCCGCCACTTGATCCAATTCCGGTGGAATCTCCTTCAACCGTACTTGAACGCGGCTTAATTCAGCCCACAAGGCCACCTCCTCATTGCGTAGACCTTCTACATAAGTCATGTCGTCCTCAGCTCGTTGTTTCTCATCCAATAAGCTCTAGGTATAGGTTGCCGTCTCTTCCTCCAGGGCCGCCAGCTCTTTGAGCTTGTTATCGTTTATGCTGCGAAGACCCTGCAATATCCTCAATCGTCCAGAGGCCTCGCTCAAGCTATCAGCAAGATCCTTCAGCTGCCTCTTGTGGTCCGAATGCAGAGGCATAGATGCAGCTGTAACGAAAACGGATGCCTTTAAGGAGTCCAGAATCTTTGAATTTTGTGGCAAAGAGGATTGATAAGCGGAAAAGGGATCCCGGTCAAGCCCACCGAAATTCGGTGGGGAAATGGTGTTCCCGGTAAGATCCTGATAAAAAATATGCCTCTACATCGGCAGGGATCACCACCGGAGCAGGAGGGACAACCCAAGATGCGGACATCCTTATACTGCTAGGTCTGACTAGCGTAAGGGAATAAGTCTGGGTGACTTGACCGCCGCTTTCGAAGTGAGATCCTCACAAGAAACTTGCACGGTTACACTAATCAGAGCTAGTCGCAAAAGTAAGCCAACAATGTATACTGGCTAATACATGGAAAGAAGACGGTGAGGAAACGGGATCGTTCTGTCTGAGGGATCTACATGATAGCGAACATAAGAATATATGACATATGACTGGAGGTTTGATATGAAGAGGAAAACATACTTGAAGAGGAGTTGGTGACAAAGTCAGTTCCACTATAGGGGCAACAACAGATACGGAGGTAGCCTTTTTAAGATGAGCCTCCACGATCATCAAGGAAATAAGAACCCATGTTATGAATGCAAAATCGTCCAAAAGTTACCTGAAGTGAGGGCGGCGATAGAGCTTGCTGTTTAACAGTCCGTTTGGGTCATGACTTGGGCATGGCAAGCCGCGAAATCAGCCTTCAGAAGCGCCGAATTGCAGAAACAGATGTAGGACGGGCGCCCAACACAGAAGGTGTACATGTTGTACAATGGAAAACGATTATATTAACATGCACTACCAAACTGTATGGAAAATAAGAAAGATCACCTGTAGTTGGGGGTGCATATATTTCCTCTACTCCATCGGAAACATCATCGGCAAACCTTCATCATCCGAATGCTCGTCCACTAGCTTAACCAAGGACAACCATAAAGTGGTCAGGTTCACGTGGGTAAGAAAGGCCGTCCACCATTGATCAAAGGAAGGTAAGGTGCTCGGGTCGAGAGGATAAGGCGAATGCGGAAGACCCTTCAATTCATGAATGTAAATACGCCAAGCATCAACGCTGGCCGACCCCAAGGTCTGATCCGGACTAAAAGGGAGCTGCAAAAGAAAGTTGAGCAGAAGGATCCCCTGAGCCAACCCGAATTGACGGGCATAGTATTGAGGTTGGTAAACGTTCCCAAATAATGGATTATACCGGTAACCCAAGGCCAAACCTCCAATCAAGACCCGGGCAATCAAGCATTTGTTCTAGCATACCATGCGGAGTGCATCGGCACTTGCATGGGCGTCAGCACCAAAAACTGTGGGGTGGCTAGCCAAAGGACATAAATCACCTGAGATCGATCAACCTCGTGTACGAGAGAATAGATCATGGAATGCAGATTACCCTTGAAATAAGGTACGAGGTGAGATGTGGGCCTAAAATCGCTAGTTGATCAGACGGGAGGCCAGGATATGGATTGAGGAAACCAAGAAACTATAACCGCGGCCACAGCTCGAGGAATCACAAGGGGCTGACCTTTATCGGCTCACGGGAAGTCGAAAAAGAGAGTTTTTCTAAAAAATTATTTATACCACGGTACAATAAACCCAAGAAATATGAAGCCAAATCTAGTTCAGCACCGGAGACAATGGCATTCAATACTGGCTCGGCCTCTCGGATTAATCCCTTCAATGCGCAACATGCGAAGTACTTGCTAAACCAATATAGGAGGAATGTATTGTTCTCATAAGGTTCGACGGTACCAGAAAGCTTATTCGAGGCAACTACAGTAGTATTATTGTCATAAGTTACAAGAATAGGTAGACGATCGGGCTTGCAAGACGGAGACAAATGAGGTTCTACTCATTACGAAGGCAACCCTAGAATGACCACTACAACCAACACAGTGGGAGTCAAAATACCGAAAGGGAATACAAAGGCATTCATATTCGAGCTCCAAAAACACAGTAAAGCCCTAGTCATAGGAGTATCACGGGGGAGGGAATTGGTACATAACGTCAACATATCTCTGATCCCCAATACTTGCCACCATACGTCAAAGGAAGGTTTCAGCCTATCCATCCACGATTTAAATTCTAAAGTATCATTAGCAGACGGAATATACGAAAAGGAAAACTAGTAAGATTAAACCAGGGTTGAACAAACAAGAATTTACCCCCTCTGAGGATGTCGTGGGAATCCTCGGGCACATCTCCATCATCCCTTAC